CTGCCCTACATGTGACATGAAAACATGGATTCATGTTGGAAAAAGAAGAGATTACAAATTACAGATCACTAGATCATTTGAAAAATCTTAACTTCCATTATTATCGTGGTTTGTTTTGTGGTTGTCTCTTGTTTGACACATCTATGCATACCTATTGGTGTGTTTACTTCTTTAAGCCTTTTTTTGCACAAATGTTTACCTAAATTGTTAGGGGGAAAGCCTCTGACTACAGTGCACACTAATTTGTCCTGTTAACACTTTAACTTGAAAACTAATTTTTGCCAAATCATACTCCTTTTCTGCCAAAGGGACCAGAAATTGCCCTGTTGCTGACATTTCAGGGCAAACATTAATTTTTTCTATATATTTTTTTTTTTTTTTTATGTCAGGCTCAAAGTGGTGATTGTATTACTCAAATTTTCACATTAAGTATTAAAGTTTTTTGGTTTTTTTTTTTAAACAATTTGTCTGCAATATAAAATTACTGTATAGTTTTCATGAATATAAAATGCAATATTGATGGGTAAATGAGGTTGGCTTATTTGAAATGCTGTGGTGGTAAATGCAAGCTATATTAACACTACTCCTGCCTTTCACTTTTATACACTTGTAAAAATGCCACTAGAACCATAAACTATAGCCTTCTAATGATTTTTCTTCGATAGCATACTGTAGATGGGCCTTGAATTTCACAAAATTTTTTTTCTATCTTGCCGTGAGTTTTCTATTTTTTATTTTTTATTCTGTCCATTAATATACTTCCAACAAACATGTTATACAAAATGACTGTGGTAAAAGTTGCTTGGTATGACTTTAAACTTTGCACTGATCTATTTTGTTACAAAAAGACCACTATAACCCATACTGAGCCCTTTGTATGCCAAGAAGATAAGCCTGTCATCTATGTACGGCTGCATGAAAAAAAAATTAAACCCCTGTTTAAGGGCATTTTATTTTGTATTACCAAGTACCACGCCTTTTGAAGTAAAATACTTTAGCAGTAAGTATTATGCTTTATACAGCCTGCAGGATAATAGCACTGCTATATCCTAAAAACGCCTGTATGGAAAGCTGATCTGAAATTTTATGCTCCATGTTGAAGCCCAGCTTTCACATAATCTTATTTTGGCTCTCTGTAAGAATATATCTATACCAGTAAGATGTTGTACTTAAGAGTGCCTGCTAGGCAGCCTTTCAACGATGATGTTCGTGGCCAATAAATTAGAAATCTCAAATGGATAATCCACCATGTCATCTGATTTTTGTCCTAGGAGGTATTTGCTTCTCTTGATTTGCAGTTACCTGGGAAACCATTACATTACTGTAGATTGGGCACTCCATTGTTATGCCACCATTGTTACTTAGATAATCCTGCTTTGAAGAAACACTGCCAAGTAGTATTCATGTTACAGTGTATTGGAGATAGTGATCCTGACATACAGCAAGGAAAGCACCACAATGTATATTTAAAGGGACACTATAGTCACCAGAACAACTACAGCTTAATGTAGTTTTTTTGGTGAGTATAATCATTGCCTTCAGAGAAAAGGCAGTGTTTACATTGCCCCTAGGGACACCTCCAAGTGGCCACACCTCAGATGGCCACTGGAGGTGCTTCTTGGCTCAGTGCTGCACAGTAGGCAGCTCTGCCGTTCAGCGTCCTCACTCTCTGCATGGAGACCCTGAATTTTCCTCATAGAGATGCACTGATTCAATGCATCTCTATGAGGTGGTGTTGATTGGCCCCGCCCCTTGATGATTTTAGCCAATCCAATGCTCTCACCATGGGAAAGCATTGGATTGGCTAAAAATCGGAAATTGTCACCAAGGGGACGGAGCTGGCGCCGGCGGACCCGTGCTGGAAATAAGGTGTTTTAATTCCTTTTAAGGGGGGGCAAGCCACTTATTGGTGGGTTAAACACTATAGGGTCAGGAATACATAGCTGTATTCCTTTTGAAGATGCAAGTTTTTGTTTCTGGTTTTATCTATCTCTTTTTTTTTTCTTCATTATGTTTAAGCCTAAACCATATTTAGTGGGATTTTACATGAGTTGTTCCAGAAGTGAAGATACCTGTAATTTTATGGATGGGGCTTTAAATAAGAACAATCTCTCCCTTTCCCTCTCTCTCTCCTTTAACCATTACATTGATATTTTTAATTTAAACCACCTGCTGCTGCATTTTGTATTCATGCCAGTAGATCCTAGCCTTTTATCACTAATATTTTATTTGTACCATGTCTGGGTTCTCTGTAGAAACTTTTTAAAGGGACACTATAGTCACTTGAACAACTTTAGCTTAATGAAGTAGTTTTGGTGTATAGAACATGCCCCTGCAGCCTCATTGCTCAATCCTCTGCCATTTAGGAAATAAATCCCTTTGTTTATGAACCCTAGTCACACCTCCCTACATGTGACTTGCACAGCCTTCCATAAACACTTCCTGTAAAGAGAGCCCTATTTAGGCTTTTTTTATTGCAAGTTCTGTTTAATTAAGATTTTCTTATCCCCTGCTATGTTAATAGCTTGCTAGACCCTGCAAGAGCCTCCTGTATGTGATTAAAGTTCAATTTAGAGATTGAGATACAATTATTTAAGGTAAATTACATCTGTTTGAAAGTGAAACCAGTTTTTTTTTTTTCATGCAGGCTCTGTCAATCATAGCCAGGGGAGGTGTGGCTAGGGCTGCATAAACAGAAACAAAGTGATTTAACTCCTAAATGACAGTGAGTTGAGCAGTGAAATTGCAGGGGAATGATCTATACACTAAAACTGCTTTTATTTAGCTAAAGTAATTTAGGTGACTATAGTGTTCCTTTAATACAAGTGAGTTGTTAACCCTATTTAAAATAACACTGTAGGTTTGTTGCAATGGAGGGAGCAATTCGAAGCAAAACTATTACGTGCCATTGTATATTAGCACTATACATTTTCCCACCAGTACATTTTTTTTTTATTTTTATTTTTTTTATAGCATGTATGTTGATAATATGCTTAGTAAATAAAGATATGGACAAATCTGATTATTTTGCTTGTGCAGCTTGTCTTATTCAAAGATGTCAAAGTGTTGTAAAATGGATTCACAATGTACCTAGGTACTGCTGGATGTCTGTATCCAGTTTTCTTCTTCAGTAGAAGCCAAGTGTTTCTGTAGAATAAAGGACTGCCAACGCGGGATCGTGCCCATTGGCTGAGAACACTCTGCTATTGCTCCCAGCCAGTGACTGCTTTTCATGGTTCTGCTTTGTTCTGTAGAGAATTTAGGATTTTCCTGCTGGTGAAGACTACATGTGATGCAAGTTATGTGGGAGTTCAACAGGAGCCAGTTGGACATCTTTTGATGTCTTGGCACCATAATCACTTCACTGCACTGTAGTGGTTAGTGCCAGAAGCCCCATGGCAAATGATCAACAGTTTGACACTTTATCTGGGTGCCTCCCGCCCGGCCTCCACTTAAGATATGCCTAAATTTAATCTTTTGTAAAATATCTGTATAGTCTCTGAATTTTATTCCTATATTTAGTGTGATAGAATTTTGCATTAGAGATGAGGGACCTGTGCAGAATATAGTGCTTGAGATTTTTAAACCCCTGTTACCCGATATCCCTGACCCTAGGTGGGAAATTGATAGGGCACATTGCTCAGCGGGTGCACCACGTAGAGCAGGAGAACACCCAAGAGATATTATAGTAAAATTCCAATATTGCAGCACAAAAGACGCAATTGTGCGTAAATACAGGGGGATGGAGGTTTCATATAGGGATAAATCGCTTCAGATTTTTCAAGATCTATCTCCCAACACCCTATTAAAGAGACTGCATTGGAAACCAATTACTGAACATTTGCGACTCAAACATATCCCTTTTGCTTGGGGGCACCCCTTTAAATTACTTGCTTTTCACAATGAGCAAACCAGGGCTTTGTTGCAAAAAGGCGACCTAAGTAGATTTTTTCCAAACAATGGGTTTGGATATCCCAAAGAGAGTTCAGCTTCTATTTCAACCAAAGGTTTTACCACTCCCTCTTCCCAGGAAATGGTATGAGGCAAGGGAGAATTATAATCCCCATAGTCTTCACCTTGTGAATTATCTAGTTATTACCTCAATTATCTGCAAGATGAAAAATAAAGAGGTCTTTGGGCAATGACTTTTATTTTTTGGTACGCAGTAGATCAGTAGGAACTGAATTTTTTTTATTTATTTTTTTTATCTCCATCCCTGCTTCTGCTTTATAGCGATACATTTTTGGGTCCTGAAATTGACTTTGATTATTTTTTTTTATTTTTTTTTTTAAATATGACTCTTTGGTTTACATGGAGTATGAAACATGGTCTATATGGATCATGGAAAGTGTTAGTATGATATGCTAGTGGTATATTGGCAATTTGTGATCTATGATTTATGTTGGACATGATAGGTGTCATGATATGTGTGTGCATGTACGTATGTATGTGTATTTGTGCGTGCATATGCTGGTATATATAGGGTATGTATGTATTGATTCTCATTTTTGCTAACCTTTGAATTTGAACTAGATGACTATTTGGATTATATATGGGTGGTGGGAGAGAGTGGTAAAGAATAATAAAATGTATAATACATTTTAAAAATTATTTCTGACTAGGTTTAAGGCATTCTAAGATATAGATATAATTGGAAAGCATTAGTTACCTGGCCAGCTATATTTCTAGCCAGCTAGGGGTATTTAGTTAGATGGGAGTAGATACAATTCGTCCCATGGCCGACGTAGACCTGGGAGGATTGTGTCCCCCAATGTTTTTCTGGCATTTGGAGAGTCCAGGATGTAGTTTTTGAATGTACATGCTTTTGTTACTGGGGTGTGTTTGTTTTTGTTTTTTGTTGTTTTTTTTTTTGTTTTTTTTTCTCTTTGCCATGGTTTGGACCACTCTTACAGAATTATCAAACCTATTAGTATTGTACTCGTTTGTCAACTCTTGTCTTCTGCTTGATATATTAAGATAGTCTCTTTAAATGTAAAAGGCCTTAATTCACCTGTGAAGAGAAAACTGATGTTTAAGGAAATGCAAAGATTTCAGGTCTATATTGCCTTTTTACAAGAAACCCATTTAAACAGATCTCATGTGATTTCTCTTATGGATAAAATGTATGATAGAGCTTACAGTTCGAAGCGCCCTCCGCAAGCATAACGGAGTGGCAGTCTTGATTCATAAATGTTGCCAGTTTAAAGTCTCAAATACTTCCCAGGATACAGAAGGCCGCTATATATTGTCAGGTATGCTAGGCCCTCGCAAACTTCACTTGCTAAGTTTATATGCCCCAAATGTACAGGTGCTAGTTTCTGGGATACGATTGGTCAGGTTATCAAGCCTATCCGGTCAGACTTTCTTTTGATAGTTGGTGATTATAATGCAGTTTCATGCCCAGCAATAGATATGAGTTCTAGGCCTGGAGAAGATTTTTATTTTCAGTTTATTTCAGCTCATAAGCTTATTCATGTATGGAGGACTCACCACCCTGAGCTATTGGATTTTACATTTTATTCATCTCCACATGGTACTTATTCCAGAATAGATATGTTTTTGTCAACTCCAGAATTTGCTTATAACTCACAAATTAATATTACGTGGTCAGACCATGCTGATATTGCTGTCTCTATAAAAGGACTATCTGCTAAATCAAGTTGCTCTTGGTGCCTTAATACTTGTCTCTTGGTTAGGGAAGAAATTGATTAAAATAGCTCCCTATAGGAAATTGAAAAAATCTGAATCTTTATTTGAGCTCCACAAAATTATACGTAGCTGTAATTTAAACATAAAACAGCCCCTTCGGAACAAACACTTTTGGACCTTTAAAACTAGCAGATTAAAAATGAAAACTCTTTTAATAGATGATGCTGTCTGGCAGTTGAAATCGACATGTAGATATTTCTATGGCAGAGCAAACAGGATTGATGCTCCCCTGGCCAAATGCTTGAGGCTACACATGCACTCTAAACCGATAACCGCTATTAGAGCTGCTTCCGGGACTTTGGTTTTGACGGCCGAGGAGATCTATGGAGCCTTTCGGGAATACTTCTCTACACGTTATAATCAATTCCCGGATTGGAATGGGAAGGATCCGGAACGGGGGATACAATTTGAGAGAATTTTTGGGTTCAGTGAACCTACCCTCTATTCCTGAAAATACCTTAGGATCTCTATGGATGAGATAAAAGCAGCTATTTCTTCCATTAAAGGGGGTGAAGCACCTGGCCCAGATTGATTTAGTGGCAGCTACAATAAAACATTTCAGGATACCCTTCTGCCACATTTGCAGGAGGTTTTGCATGCAATATGTCAGAGGCATTCTTCCAGCAGACCTGACTATGGCTAAAATCATTCTCCTACCGAAAAAGGATAAAGATTCTACGGCAGTTGGGAATTATAGACCCATTTCCCTAATAAATGTGGACACAAAAATAGTAGCAAAGGTCTTAGCTTTACGCCTATCTCCTCTGCTCCCCATTTTGATTCACCCAGACCAGGTAGGTTTTATTCCTGGAAGGTAGCTATATGAGAATACTTGTAGAGCCGTAGATCTTGCATGGCTTATAGAGACAAAGAGGCTGCCATCGATGCTCCTATCACTTGACACAGAGAAGGTATTTGATAGGGTTGCCTGGCCATATTTATTTTATCTATTGCAGTCTTGGGGTTTTCCTGAATCTATCATTGCCATAATTTGAGCTCTTTATTCTACTCCTTTTTCGGAACAGACAATTTGGCCCAGGAATGGGAGAGCATAATTTTCAAAACTTAAAACTGGGAGGAATCTATAGATATATTTGGCAAGGAGGAGAGGTAGTTCCTTTTGCTAACTTAAGTGCCAGACTTGATTTGAACTCGGGAGACTTCTTTCGATACCTTCAGATTAGAGATTCTTCCTACTCTACTGAAGTCCGGATTGCTGTCCAGCTCCCTTATACTGCTTTTGAAAAAATATGCAAAATATGAATTATAAAGAGAAGTCGAGCAGATTTGAACAGTGGCGGCTCTAGACTTTGAGGCCTTAGGCAAAACTCAAACAAGAGTCCCCCACTAACACTCATAGTAAAAAAAAAAACATATAGGGGTTGCATCGTGTGTATAATGAGCTCTAGTTATATTGAATGACATGCTTGCAGTGCTGGATACAGAGAGCTACTCTGTATTCACTGTTGGGGGGAGTGTGGCACGGTTGAAGTAGAAAGTGTGACAGGGCAAGGGGAGGTGAGTGACAGGATGAGGGAGGGTTATGTGACAGGGTGAGTGTGGCATGTCTAGGCAGGATGAGTGACAGGATAGGAGAAGTTAATGTGATAGGGTGAAGGGGGATGAGTTGGACAAGGCGAGGGAAAGTGAGCCGGACAGGATTATGTGACAGGGTGAGTATGGCATGGTTGGGCACGAGTGAAAGGGTTAATGTGAAAAAGCATGAGTGTGATAGGGTTGAAGATGAGTGTGATAGGATTAGGGGGATTAATGTGATAGGGTGAGTCTGGAAGAGCGAGGGCCGGTAATTGTGGTATGGATGGAGGGGGTGAGAGCGACGAGATTAGGAGAGGTTAATGTGAGCAAGGCTGGGTGAAGGGGGCATGACAGCATGTGGGGGGTGGCTGTATGTGTGTGGAATTGTGACGTGGGTAGGTGAGAGTGTGGGAGGCAGTGTTGGAAAGGGTGGCAGTGTGTGGGAGGGGTGACTATGTATTGGTGACATAGTGTTGGGGGGCTGACAATATGGGATGCAAGTGTGTGAAAGGGTAACAGGGTGAGGGAGCAGTGTGGAGGATAGAGACAGTGTGGGAGGGCAAGGTGTGTGGGACACAGTGTAGAGAGGGAAGGGTGTGTGACAGCACAAGGGGCAGTGTGTACGACAGTGTAGGGGGGAAGGGTGTGTGACTGTGGGGATGGGAGGGCAGTGTTGGGGCAGGGCAGTGGGGGGTGAGAGGGCTGTGTTGGGGCAGGGCATGTGGGGAACAGTGGCTGGGATTTACAATTAGCCCTTACCCGCCACCACTGGGTGGGGGTTGGGAGGTACAAAAGGCCCCATGTTATCATTTAGTGTTGCCAACCCAGAAGCTGGGATGGGACAATAGGTCAATGGCTACTGGCTGATCACTCTTTAGTAGACATACACGTACTCTCAGCACAACGAGTAGGGGCAGGAGGCATATTTTAAGCTCTTATTTACTAATCCAATAACTATTTACATAGTATTAGTAAAGTTGGCTGATGGTTCCCTAATACTTGTGGGATTGCCATTATATGGCAATCCCACAGGATACAGTTAAGGGAGCTAGATGCAGCCGCAGCACTGATCGGAAGGAACCGAAAATAACAGAATTTCATCTAAACACAAATGGACAAACTGTTGACATTCTGTTCGGATGAAATTCAGTAAATTCGCCGGCCCCCTAGTCTAAATGACCGGACATTTGGAAATGGAGAAAGGAGGGAACACAAGAATACAGAGGAGGGTAAGTATTGCGGGAAAACTTTCTCTGATACAGGAAATGGAGCTGACTTATGCTCCTCCTTATGTCAAAGAAAATCAAGCATTGGAAAAATACATAAGACAAACCACATCAGAAAATAAAGAAAAGACAGATTCTGAGAGGGGAAGAGAAGAGGAAGCGATTGGTTGGTGTGGGCGTGCTGCTTTAAGATTAACAGGTTTACTTTTATTGGACAACTTTTGTGTAAATACTCTGGTTAAATATATACCATTATAGTGTTTGTTTGCTCTATATTCAATTTCTGGAGATCCTGTAGGATTCCTCCTAAACCTTTTCATCCATTCCAGTATATTCAATATCCACATGAGAACATGGCAATATACGCCATACCTGAAGCAAACAAGGAAGGCTACTTAGCAACTGTTGGTTGTTAGAAGTCAGTAGAGTACAACACTGAGGTCTGGGACTGACTTTTGTGATGTCACAGAACACGATTTCTCATTGGTGAAGGAGATAAGCAGAAAACAACTGTGTATCTTGTCACTTGGAGAGGACTGAAGGTCAGCCTCCTTTCTCACGACTATGGACCCTAGCCGGGAAAGAGGTTCTGTTCTGGGGAGGCAGGTACACAGGGAACCATTTGGACTGCTGCATTTGCATTTGCTGGTTTGCATTTGCCACTGTTGCAATATTGAACCCTTGTTTTAAAAGGGGCTTTATTCAGACTTGTGATGACTCTCCATCGCCTTCTGTTGGTGAAACTGGAAAATGCATTGATTTGTATACTAACAATATGCAAATTAGTAAATTGCAAAAAAACTTGACAAGTTGCATCTGTATATCTGTGTTTTTTTTCATAATTTGGAAAGTTGTGATTGTGTTATATATTTGAGGCATTATTATACTGCTTGTTTCTCAAGTTAGGTGTGTTTGTTTAGATGGATTTCACCACATGTTTAAGGGCAAGTCACCAAAGGCTAGCCCTGGTCCAAAATAAAGTAGTGAATATTAGTTCCATTGAGAACTGTGTGTCCTATTTTGCTTTGTTCAGGATTCCCAGTAACAAAGTTTTTGGACCTGTTAACTGGCTGCATTATTCAATGAATCACAGGATGCGTTAAGAAAGATCTAGGTCTGAGAGCCACAAGCGCCTTTATAAAGGCAGGTAGTAGTTGAAAACACTATACGCAAAGGTATCGATGTCTGTATGGGAGAGGAACAGAAGAGGAAAAAGACGGGCAATGCCTGGCTGGAAGGAGAGAGCTGCAGCCTGGTCCGGTGGAATTGGTCCTCAGAGACCACAGTCATGCTTTGGTGACTGGGTCTGAAGCACTCCAGAGTCCCTGGTAGCAGAGAGGAAGCTGACCTGATGGAGGTACTCAGTCAGCATATATGGGCAAACTATAAGACAAACTGTAATAAAGGAGACGATTCTAAATTAAAACACTCAAAAAATATACATCTAAATATCAGAATGCAGCAGAATATGTAAATTACACTATAATATAATAATAATCAATGGGTTTCTAGCTGTTCTAGTCTTTCTTCTATCTTATTCTACAAAATGCCTCCACCTACATTGTATCTCATTCCCATAAGTGCCTCTGCCATATTTTTCCCTATGTGGAGGCTGCGTGGAAGTCTGTACCTTAAATAAGATGGACTGTGCACGGCGGTCACTATAAGGAATATGATGTACTGTTGGAATTAAGATGATGCTTAGGTTGGCACTGTTGGAAATAGGAGAGAGGATGTGGGAACCTCACAGTATCCCGACCTACCCTCCATCTTATTTCTTACAGTGCTAAATCATTCCACAATCCACCTTTTCTCCAGTTACACAAATTGTCACTTTACATACTGATAATTATAAAAACAACTGAATTGCCATTTCTACTTTTGCTTTTTGCCTGTGGTGGGATTGTATCAGTTGGGGCCACTTCTCTCCTCTGCTCTGTATCTGTTGGATGCCTGGGAGGCAGCAGTAAATGCAGGTAATGGTGCCATTTAGTGCAGCCAAAAGTATAGAGACAAAGTTGCATGGAATCATGATGGGGGCATCTGATATATCCTGAGCACTCTCCTGTAAAGGCCTAGCTGCTCAAGAAGAGCTACAGAGTGAAAAGGAGAAGGAGCGAGCACATTTACCCTATACCACCCAATGATTTTGCGTTCACTTAACATATCGTCCAGTGGTTCTCAACAATAGAAAAATAAAACAAATGTGGTCATCCTGTGTACCCGCCTTGCAGCTTGTTTTGGGCCCTTGTCCTTGTACACCCTCCCCAGAACTGTTCCAGTTTCCATGGGCTCACGTTGCAAAGGAAATCTGTACATACATACATACATATTTGGTCTTTGGAACTCTTGAGCACATTCTGTGGTGTACTCCCATTAAAAATATAATTTGAAATATATTTGAAAAAATGCATACACGGTCAATAGAAGCATAACAGGGTCATATTGTATTACGAGCCTACAGGGATAACACCAAATGATAAATAGTGACTTATTTACTGGATACTAAATATAATTTTATGACCAGACAGGAGGCTTCATATTACTTATCTTTCTTTACTGAAACCTCCAGCAGCAAAGAAACCGTTAACAATAGATAAATAAAAATCAACCAATCAGAGAGCATGACCGTAGTATGTATTGTAATCAAGCTCCTCCCAACTCCTCTTTCTTTGCTGCTCGCCTCCCAGGTGAGTCAATTCTAATTATAATCTCCTACATTTTGACTTTGTCATATGATATATTTGTCATCTTATATTTTATTATATTCTATTTGTTTTTTTTCCCAACTAACTACCTATAAGTACTTGTTAAATTATTGTCCATCCACTTTTACTGTTTGACAGTTTTATACTGCTCCCCTATCCTCTGCTGTGCTCTGGCACTCTACATATTGCACCTGCTCCCCCTCTGGAGCTCCATTTTTACTCTCCTTCCCCAACTAACCCCTGTAGCCATCACATTAGGCAGTCAGAAGTCCAACCGGCCCATTCGTACACATCATTTTGTGAAGCGAAGGCTTTTCCCGCCCTTTTTGTTTGCGGTGGCCATCTAACACTCACGCTGCACTTTCACGCTTTTTTGTCATTTGTAAAGTGCAGAATACTACAGGACGGTTGTAAGCTCTGCATACTCCTTGTCTAGCGATCAGGTAACTTTTTATTTCAGATTTAATAGTGTATTTCCTCAGGGCCGGACTGGCCCACCGTGATACCGGGGAATTTCCCGGTGGGCCGGCAGTGCAGCATTTGATATGTTTATTTTTCCCTCCTGTGAGTTTTTCTGTGAAGGCTGGGGCAGATAATTACCGAGGTGGCAGCCAGCTGCAGCAGGGAGGAGTGAGAGTCTCACCCACATTGCCAGCTCCTCTGCATGGTCAGTCTGGTAGGATCCAGCCCCCGCACTAGAGCTCGCTCACCCCAGCCTCAGCCTGGTCACCTTTCACACAGGAAGAGGAAGTAGAGGAAGCACCTGATCAGGATCCACACTGCCAGTGACAGCTAATTGTATGATTGATACTGAAAGAGTGAGAGAGAGTGTGTGTATTAGCTAACTTGTAGTGTGCTTGTGTGTATATCAGTGAGCTTGCAGTGTGCTTATGTGTGTATCAGTGAGCCTGTAGTGTGCTTGTGTGTGTATCAGCTGGCTTGTAGTAAGCTTGTGTTTGTCAGTGAGCTTGTAGTGTGCTTGTGCGTGGATCAGTGAGCTTGTAGTGTGCTTGTGGTGTGCTTGTGTGTATCAGTGAGCTTGTAGTGTGCCTGTGTGTGTATCAGTGAGCTTGTAGTGTGCATGTGTGTGTATCAGTGAGCTTGTGTGTTTGTCAGTGAGCTTGTAGTGTGTATCAGTGAGCTTGTAGTGTGCTTGCGTATATCAGTGAGCTTGTAGTGTGCTTGTATATATCAGTGAGCTTGTAGTGTGCTTGTGTGTATCAGTGAACTTGTAGTGTGCCTGTGTGTATCAGTGAGCTTGTAGTGTGCTTGTATATATCAGTGAGCTTGTAGTGTGCTTGTGTGTATCAGTGAACTTGTAGTGTGCCTGTGTGTATCAGTGAGCTTGGAGTGTGTATCAGTGAGCTTGGAGTGTGCTTGTGTGTGTATCAGTGAGCTTGTGTGTATCAGTGTGCTTGTGCGTGTATCTGTGAGCTTGTAGTGTGCTTGTGTATATCAGTGAGCTTGTAGTGTGCCTGTGTATATCAGTGAGCTTGTAGTGTGCCTGTGTGTATCAGTGAGCTTGTAGTGTGCTTGTGCGTGTATCCGTGAGCTTGTAGTGTGCTTGTGTATATCAGTGAGCTTGTAGTGTGCATCAGTGAGTTTAGAGTGTGATTGTGTATATCAGTGAGCTTGGAGTGTGCTTGTGTATATCAGTGAGCTTGTAGTGTGCATCAGTGAGTTTAGAGTGTGCTTGTGTATATCAGTGAGCTTGGAGTGTGCCTGTGTGTGTATCAGTGAGCTTGTAGTGTGCTTGTGCGTGTATCCGTGAGCTTGTAGTGTGCTTGTGTATATCAGTGAGCTTGTAGTGTGTATCAGTGAGCTTGTAGTGTGCATCAGTGAGTTTAGAGTGTGCTTGTGTATATCAGTGAGCTTGTAGTGTGCCTGTGTGTATCAGTGAGCTTGTAGTGTGCTTGTGCGTGTATCAGTGAGCCTGTAGTGTGCTTGTGTGTGTATTAGCTGGCTTGTAGTAAGCTTGTGTTTGTCAGTGAGCTTGTAGTGTGCTTGTGTTTGTCAGTGAGCTTGTAGTAAGCTTGTGTGTATCATTGAGCTTGTAGTGTGCTTGTGTGTGTATCAGTAAACTTGCCTGTAATAAGCTTGTGTGTGTCAGTTTGACTGTTGTGAGCTTGTGTATGGGGCAGGGAGCTTGTGTGTGTTGGTGTGCTTGTGTGTGTCAGTGAGCTTGCCTGTAGTAAGCTTGTGTGTGTCAGTGAGCTTGTGTGGGTCAGAGCACTTCTGTGTTTGTCATTAGCGAGCTTGTGTTGGTCATAGAGGTTGTGTGTGTGGTTAGCTTGTCTGTAGTTAGGTTGTGTTTGTCACTGAGTTTGTCTCTAGTGTGCTTGAGTGAATGTCGGTGAACTTGTGTACGGCAGTAAGCTTGTCTGTAGTGAGCTTGTGCATGTGTCAGAGCGTTTGTGTGTATCAGTGAGCTTGTCTGTAGTGAGCTCTTTTGTGTCAGTGAGCTTTTCTGTAGTCAGTGTGTGTGTGTGTGTGCCATTGAGCTAGTGTGATATATTAATGTGGAACATCCTTTTAACCCGTTAACGCCATTACGGCGTTCTATTAAATCTTTATTTAATTTTTTTTTAGGACAGAGACACCAAAGCGTTAAAAAGACCTGTTTGTATTCCTAACACTTAGTGTTTCTTCAAATGCAATAAAGAAAGCACAAGTCCCAAGCATATTTAGGCAGCATACAAACATGCATAATAATGCAAACTTAAAAAAAGTAAAAAAGATTTTTAAAAAATGTATGAATTAACATTTTATCAAATCTGACGGAAAGGTATTATAATTGTAAATTGGATTATAAAAGAATTCTGGTGAAATCCAATGTAGTTTGACGTGCATTGGGAAAACGATCCTCCAATTAAATATTTATAATGAGGAATACAGCAGCTGAGTTAATAATTCTAGCATAGCATATTTTTATACGATTTTTTTCCTTTAAGTTTTTTTTTTTTTTATCAGAAAGAAGATTACTTATATAATTAGATTTTATATTTATACATTTAGCATATGGTAAATGCATGAAATTAGAACATATTATTTCTACACATCTTGGATAATAATTTCAAACTTTTTATACAGTATCAGCCAAAGGTTTGTGTGCTCCTTATCATCTCATGCTCTACTTACATGCAATACCTTTTAACCCCTTAAGGACACATGACATGTGTGACATGTCATGATTCCCTTTTATTCCAGAAGTTTGGTCCTTAAGGGGTTAAGTATCTTTGTGATATTTTACATTAGTAGTTGGCACAGGAAGATGAGCTCAGCTACCTCTTTTGTGAAAAATAACTCCCAAAGGAAAATGACTCCCCTTAGAAAGTACTCGATCACAGATAAAGCTTTCTAAGATAAGAAAACATGTAAGATCTATGTCGATGTTGATTCAATGCATCTTTAGGAGGAGATGCTGATTGGAGCAGGGGGATGTTTTACTGCGCATGCGCAATTGCCTCCCAATGCTTTTCTAAGGGAAAGCATGGGATTGGCTAAGATTATCAAGTTGATGATCTCAGCCATGGAGACGGGGACATTCGTGTTATGAAACATATATGAACACACTGACAAACAGATACACTCAGATACACAAAAACTAAGATACACACACACTGGCACATACACACACAAACACTAAGATACACGCTGGCACACAGATACACTCACTGGCACATACGCTCTCAGATACACACACTCCGATACACACTGATACACAGAGACACACACTGACATAGATACACACTGACACACACAGATACATACATAAACACTCAAATACGCACTGACACACAGATACACACACAGTCAGATACACACACTGATATACAGATACACACACACACACACACACACACACTGACACAGATACACACCGACACACAGACAGATAAACACACTGGCACACACACAGATATACACATGTATGACAGATATACACATGTATGATACATACACTCACTCAGATACACACACGGCACCTGCATTCAGATATACATTGACATATAGATACACACTGGCACATATACATACACACACACACACTGACACACAGTACACACACAATGGCACATACGCTCGTAAATACACACAGACATTCAAATACACACTGGAACATACACACACATATTCAGATACACACTGGCACTTACACATGCTGACATACAAACAGATACACACACATACATGTCATACTTTATATATTTGCAGCCACCCTCCTGTTAGTTTACCTTTGTGTCCAGGAGGGTGGCTTGCTTGAGGTTCTGGTCATGGCTGAGGCTGATGGGAGTGAGTAGTTCACTCTAGCCTCTCAACTACGTCCATGTTGCTGTGTACACTGCCGCCTCCAGCCTCGTCGCTCCATTCCTCCTATGCGGCTCTTTGTGAAGCAGGGAGGAAGTGACAGGCTGTCTCTTCCTTCCTCCTGT